CCGATTTCACTTTTTCTTTGGAGTTTCTTTTATGAGTTATTATTTAGTATACCAAAGTTTTGCGATTCCACAAGCGAGTTAAAATATTATTTTATTTTTAATATTAAATACACTATTAATGTAAAACTTAGACTTTACAAACGATATAAGAAGTTGACACATATTCACATTATTCCTTAATTAATTTTGTATTTAAAATTAAAATTTATTCCGATATTTCATAAAGAACACCCGTCAACCTTAAACCTCGCAGGTATTGTATAGCATATAACTTTGAATAAGAAAAATTCAAAAGAAAAAACAGTGAAGACCTGTGAGTACGGATAAGAATAAATGCACGTGGAATGATTGTTCATAATTTACAATTAGTTGACGGCAGAAGTAGTGGCAGATGCCTCTAGTAATAACTGACTTTGTTTTTTAGCCCACGAGGGTTTTTCCATTTTTCTTTTTCAATTTATTTTGTCCTTTTTTTAATCTTACTTTAACTTTTTTTCTTTATAAGAGATTAAAGAAAATTATTAATTACCAGTATTTTTTTTCCTTCGTAAGTGGAGAAAGATTATAGAGCACTATCTACACTCTTGAAATTCTCAGAATCTGATTCATAAGACCTTCAATTTCTCTATTTCTTCTTCCCCTTCCTTCCAATAGGCTTTATTAATTTCTTTCTCTTTTTTCTCCTTTTTCTTCCATGGAACTTGAAGCTTCAATCTTCGTTCAATTTCTTCACGCTTCCTTTTGCTTCTTCATCTTCACTTTATCAACCCTTTCTCTATTTTCCCTTCTGTTATTTTTCCTTAAACCCAAACTGATCTGGTGCAACTGTGAAATCTGCACTTCTTATCTCACTCTGAGTTGGTCAAAACAATTCGATAATCTCTGCGATTGGTACGCTCATCTTCTCAAAAACTCGCCTGGAAAAACCATCCATATCCATGTTCTTCGCAACACAATCACCGCCAACCCTGAAAACGTCGAATACATGCTCAAAACCAGGTTCGACAATTTCCCAAAAGGGAAACAATTCTCCTTGATTCTCGGCGATTTTCTCGGCCGTGGAATATTCAACGTCGATGGTGATTCCTGGAAGTTTCAGAAGAAGATGGCGAGTTTGGAACTTGGGAAACTCCCAATAAAAACTTACGCTTTCGAAATCATCAACTCTGAGATCAACGACAGGCTCATCCCTTTATTACAATCAGTAAATATTTCCGGCGAAAAACAAGGGAAGGTTTTGGATTTGCAAGATGTTTTTAAAAGGTTTTCGTTCGACAGTATTTGCAGATTCTCGTTTGGGTTGGACCCTAGATGTCTGGAACTGTCTTTACCCATGTCGAAATTCGCCACAGCTTTTGACGTGGCTTCCAAGTTATCAGCCGAAAGAGCCATGGCTCCTTCTCCACTTGTTTGGAAAATCAAACGGAGTTTGAATTTAGGGAGTGAGAAGAAATTAAAGGAAGCAATTAAAATAATCCATATTTTAGCCAACGAAGTGATATGGCAAAGGAAAAAAATGGGGTTTTCAAGCCATAATAACGATCTCTTGTCTCGTTTCATGTCGAGTGTTGACGATGAAACTTATTTGCGAGACATTATTGTGAGCTTTTTATTGGCTGGACGTGACACTGTCGCTTCAGGTTTAACAAGCTTGTTCTGGTTACTCGCTAGGAGTCCAAAAGTTGTGTTCTTTATTTTAGAAGAAGCAGATCGAGTTATTGGGCAAAACAAGGAGTTAAAAAGCTTTGAACAGATTGAAAAACTTCATTATTTGCAAGCTGTGGTGTTTGAGAGCATGAGACTCTTTCCTCCAATTCAATTCGACTCGAAGTTTTGTTTAGAAGACGATAGATTGCCAGATGGGTCTTTTTTGAAGAAAGGAACTAGGGTTACTTATCATCCTTACGCCATGGGAAGGATGGAAGAGATTTGGGGTCCAGATTGCTTGGAATTCAAGCCTGAAAGATGGTTGAAAAACAACGGCGTTTTCACTCCCGAAAACCCTTTCAAGTACCCAGTTTTCCAAGCAGGATTCAGGGTTTGTTTGGGGAAAGAAATGGCGCTTGTGGAGATGAAAAGCGTGGCGATTTCAGTCCTCCGTCGTTTCCAAGTCGAATTGGTGGCACCGCATCGGACGCCGCGGTTCTCGCCGGGGCTGACCGCCACTTTTAGTGGTGGACTCCCTGTGCTGGTACGAGAAAGAGAAGCTGATCACAATCAACAATCATAAAGCGGCCGATCAAATCAAGTTTATGGCTGACAGATTCGTCGTCAGGATGTGGGCACCAAGATGCATATGGAAAGTGACATAATTAAGTTTTGATTTGTAAATGGCTAATAATAATTTATATGTGATTAATTAAGGGCTGTATATAACTCATTAATTAGAATGTTTCTATATCTGATATATGATATGATTTGTAATATGGATAGGACATTATATATATTAGATCATATAATATTCTTGTACAAATATTATGGGTGGCTGGTGTTTATTTGACTGTGAAAAGAAGATATATATAGATATTCTGAAATTTGGATAATATATATAGGAGGTTCAATTATCAGTTCATACGCATATACTAGGAAAGTATATATCCAAAAATAGTGTATATATATAGTACTATATCGTTTTACTTGTACTCGGGGCAGTGGAAAAAAATCAATACTCTCATTTGATGTAAATCCAAATTAATTGCAAGAGCACATTTTTACGAAAAATTATTAGGTGGACCGGGTCCATCACGTCATCCGTGGTCCCGACCAATAAAAATTTGACAAATCAGATTTCTTCCTAAAATTTAGGCACGAATTTAGCACCAGATTTAGCCCTTAATTTCACCAGATGAGATTTACAGGGTAAGTCCCTAAATTTATGATATGAATTGGCTAGGGTTTTAGAAATTGTAGGAAAAAATCCGATTTGTCAAAATCTTATTGATCGGGACCAAGGATGACGTGGTGGACCTGATCCACCTAATAATCACTCCATTTTTACTTTTTCGTTTGTCTACACTCTACATATTGACTAAATTAATGGATGGTTTGCAATTCCCTAGCACATTGACTAAATTAATTGATTTAATCTCTTAAGTCTTAAGTACTTGATCATATATATATATATATATATTGATGGAGAAAATTATACATACTCTATGTATAGTAACCCGGCCAGTCCTAGCTAATTAACAAGAAGAAAAGGTTGCTTTTGGGTCTCAAGCAATAAGCCCTAATCACTAGCAACTAATATAACTAATTAAGAGATCGTACTTCTAACACTTTACCATCATGATCCTCTTAAACCAATTCTTAATCTTACACTTTACCATTAAGAATTTGATCCTAAATTCGGATTACAGCTTATTTGATGGTTTTACATATGACCAAATATGTATTTTACCTTGATGGAGACATATCTGCAATGGTTTTAATTTTAAGTATTTTTTTCTATAAATAATGGTTAAAGATGGATTATATGTTTAACCAAATTATGGCTTATAAATTGAAATATATCGAGTATATATAAGTGAAAGTTTATGGAAGAGTACTAGTGTGTAAATGAACTATATATTTTCCTTAACTTATATATATGGAGGATTGAGTTGCTAATTAAAAGAGGAGAGGTACGGTACATCCATTCCTTATATATACGAGAGAGTAAGTGAAAGAAAGAGACAGAAGTGGGTAGTTGGGGAGCTCTAAACCAAGTAGTAATATATAAAACCCATATGGAAATGGCTTAATGACCACTTTTTTTTTTTGGTATCCCATTCGGTATCCAAGGCTTAGCCTGACTAATCCGGATCCGACCCGCGTCGCGCACCTGGTAATAGTGGGTGAGTCTCCCAACAGGAGCAGCTGCGTACGCAAGGTCTCGAACCTGAGACCTACTTAAGCTGGAACAAGCCGCTTACCACTTGATCCAACCCCTTGTTGGTCTTAATGACCATTTTCCCCCTTAAACCTTCACAATATGCATATTTTATTCCTCTTGAACTTTTAATTTAGATTTTTTACTATTTAAAAGTTAAAACTATCCAAATCGGGATAATTTTCCTCTGGCTATCAAAATTTGCTGATATTGCCCAAAAAAGAAATTGATGGGGACTGACGTAGTGGGAAAATTATTCCAATTTTGATAGTTTAGAGATGAAAATATACAAATAAAAGTTTACGGTGGAAATTGTCCCGAGATTTTGGTAGTTTAAAGGATGGATCGAAGTCTCAAATTCATGGAAAAAAATGTCATTTTTTTAAAAGTTAAGGGAGGAAATGGGCATTTATGCCCAATGGAAAGTATAGAGAGAAATTAAAACGAGTTGCAAAATTAGGTAAACTTTTTGTTATTAATTATCCATTAACCATATAGCAACAGACAAATCTTTTCCTTTTTCTGTATATATGAAGTATAGGTTTAGGGCGAGTTCGTGAAGTAATGGAATGGTGCAAAATTGAAAATACAATAACTTTTCCCACGTTAAAAACAGAAAAAACACTATTTGCCCACAAGGTGTCCACATGCCTACGCTAACAGCTTCTTAGCCACGAGGGCTGCAGTCTTCCATGTCGGCCCCTTTGAGGATATATGCCCTGCTTTGATGAGAGTACTTCACAAATATGGTAAGGTTTCCAAATTCTAAAAGCCAAAAAAGGTCCATTAAATGGAGAAGACAAAACTGTTGGAACTAGTCCCTCATGCAAAACTCATTTTGTATACTTTAATGGTCCCTCTCCCTCACTAGCTTGTTTAATTTGGTCAATATTGTACAAGCTTTCTCATTTTTGGGTCATGGGATTGTGTATTCATTAATGTATTCCGAAATTGATTTCTTTTTTTAATTAATTGTCTCACATTTTATAAATGATGAAGGTTACCACTTCTATTAAGTTATGTCACATAAAAATGTAAACAAGTTATCAAAATTTGCACGCACAATATATAATTTAGTAAACTTATTTCTTTAGAAATTTTATATTTTTATTAACTTTTCCTTTTTTTGTACTTGAGGTTGTAAGGGATCGAACCCTAACCACTGGAATTAAGAATCCAGCATTCTACCACTAAACCAAATAGTATTTGACAACAATTTTAATAACTTTTCATCAATGGTCAATGAATATTACCACTTCTTTTTGTTAAAAAAAATGTATACAAGTTATCGAAAATAATACGCACAACAATACGTAAATTTAGTAACCTTAAAGATTATTTGTCCACTATGGAAGCATATAAGAAGCCTGCAGGCTGCAGCCCACTCTTCATCTGTTTTGCTTATTGGGCTGTCTTTGGTGATAAAAAAATATTGGGCCTAAATGTCTTTTTTTAGGAACTTAAACTTTACAGTGGTTTCCATTCTTCCTTTATGACCTTAATTATCAATTCAAGAGCTTAGCAACCTCAGATAAAAAAATAATAAAAAAAAACCTAGCCGCTTCCACCTTCCTTCTCTCTCAACCTCCTCCTTTCAAAATTTTGTTTCCTCCTCCTCCTCTTGACTCTTTTGTCAAGGGGAAGGAGGAGCCTGATCTCTTTTAATTTTATTTTAGAATAAAGTCCCCAGATCTATTGATCTGCTGGGTTTAGTCAGTTTCTTGAGTCAGTTCAGCTTTTTTGAGTTAGTTAGTTTGAGTATGAGTCTGGTTTTTGTCCAGTTTTTAGTTTGCAATAGATTGAAAACAATTTGCCTTGTTGGAATGGTTTTTCTTTCTGATCAAAGGATGAGTGTTGATGATCCTCGAATCAGCCACTTTTTTTATCGCTGTTGAAAGCTTTTTCTTGGATTCACCGAGAAGCAAAAGCGATGGAGTGGTGGACATGCGAAAGATCTATGAAGAAGGTTCGAGACTCTATGAAGAAGGTTCCATATAATCATCAAGACGACTCATCCGATCACGGAGCAAGACCTAGATCTAGATCTAAGACAGGAGAATTCTTCTAAATTTATTGTGGGTATATCTTTGTAATTTCATTTTCATAAATGAAAATTACAATCTTTTCTTAAAAAAAAAAGAGCATAACAACCTCAATTACCCAAATAATAATAATATATATCAAATTTTCGAGCATTTTCTCAAATACTCTTAAGCTAATTGAATATATATATATATATATATATATATCTTACTACTATATAAAATCACGAACTCAAAAATTCTAATCGGGAAATTTCATTAATACCCTTAGTATTATAGTATAATAATTTTTTACAAAGTATTCTTTTTAGTCATTTAACTTTATTTATTCTCTTTGAGATGATTAATTCAACTTTTTTCTTAATTATGGAAAGATATTGTACATCCAATATTTAAAATTTTTAAATTATGGAAAGATATTTATAATCCGCTATAATTCACTATAATTGTAACTAATTATAATAAAGATATAGAAATACAAAACATAATTATAATAATTTACTCACCATAATTATTTGGAATAATTTTTATTTATAATTTATATTTATTTAATTCAAATAAATTATGGGCATTAAGGAGAAAAATTAGTTTAATACTTTACATGTTTAAAAAAATTGGTCTTATGCCGAGGTTGTCAAGATTAAAGTTTCCTATGCCAAGGAAAAAAAATTGCAGGTTAACTTTCATTTAGCAAGTTTCCCAAGATTATAATTGAGTGATTTTCCAAAGCAGTACTTCAATATTATTTCCAAAAAAAAATTGGTTTAATACTTTACATCATCTAACCAAACCTCAACAACATTGGATTATGAATTTGTTTTTACGAGCATCTAAATCTTGTTTCGATTTAATTAGAAATTAATTTGGAAAAAATAGGAAAAACGATATTAGAAATGTCAAAAGCCATTCAATCTTTTTGGCGTTGAATTATATATTTTTTATGAGTATTTTAACCAAAAATTGAGAAAACATCTTTCGGGTCAATTTTTACAAAATTTTAGCCAAAATCGTGTAATAACCATCACAGCTTTTGGCTAAAAATGCGTTTTATGACCCCGACTCAGTTTTGCCTGATTTTTGGCGCTAAGACTCCTTGAGATATCCGTATTCATCTAATCAAATCTCAGCCACATTGGATTTAACAATTTGTTTTTACAAGCATCTGAATCTTGTTTGATTTTGATTAGAAATTAATTGAGAAAAATATGAAAAATAATATTAAAAGCGTGAAAAGTCCTCCAATTGTTTTGGCGCTAAATTATATATATTTTATGAGTATTTTATCCAAAAAATGAGGAAAAAATTTTCGGGTCATTTTTTGCAGAATTTTAGCCAAAATCGTGTACCCATCACGGTTTTTGGCTAAAAACGCGTTTCGGGGACCCGGCTCAGGTTTGCATGATTTTTGGCGCAGACAATCCTTGAAATATCTAAATTCATCTGATAAAATCATAGCCACATTGCATTTAAGGATTTGTTTTACGAGCATTTGAATCTTGTTTCGATTTAATTAGAAATTAATTCAGAAAAAAATATGAAAAACAATATTAAAAGCTCGAAAAGCCCTTCAATCTTTTTGGAGTCGAATTATATATTTTATTGTGTATTTTGGATAAAAATTGAGGAAATATCTTTCAGGTCAATTTTTGCAAAATGTCAGTCGAAATCGTGTAATAATCATCACGATTTTTGGCTAAAACCGTGTTTTGGAGCCCGGTTTAATTTTTGAATGATTTTTGGTGCCGAGACTCCTTGAAATATCTATATTCATCTAACCAAATCCCAACTATTCTTTTTACAAGCATCTGAATCATGTTTTGTTTTAATCAGAAATTAATTCGGAAAAAAATAAGAAAAAACAGTATTAAAAGCTTGAAAAGTCATTCAACCTTTTTGGCGTTTAATTATATATTTTTATGAGTATTGTGGCTATAAGTTGAGGAAAAATATTTTGGGTCAATTTTTGCAATATATTAGCCGAAATCGTGTAACATCACGGTTTTTTTTTTTAGCGAAAACTGCGTTTCGGGGCTCCGGGTCAGTTTTACAGGATTTTTGGCGCCAAAAATAATGCAAATATCCATATTCATATAATCAAATTTAAGCCATTGGAATTAAGGATTTTTTTTACAAGCATCTAAATCTTTACTACTAGAAAATACTGATATCGCGGCGTTTTTCACTTCGCCGCTAGAGGTGTCGTTATAACAACCGCCCCTATTTTTGCGGCGTTTTACCAAAAAAATGCCGTTATCTGCATAACGTCGTCATTTAAAGGCGTTTAAACGCCGTTATACAGTTTAGATCATTTATTTTTTTAAAAAAAATAAATTAAATATAGCGGCGGTTAATTAGAAATTAATTTGGAAAAAATAAGAAAAACGATATTAGAAACGTTAAAAGCCACTCAATTTTTTTGGTGTTGAATTATATATTTTTTATGAGTATTTTAACTAAAAATTGGGGAAACATCTTTCGGGTCAATTTTTACAAAATTTTAGCCGAAATCGTGTAATAACCATCACAGTTTTTGGCTAAAAATGCGTTTTAGGACCCCAGCTCAGTTTTGCCTGATTTTTGGCGCTAAGACTCCTTGAGATATCCGTATTCATCTAATCAAATCTCAGCCACATTGGATTTAACAATTTGTTTTTACAAGTATCTGAATCTTGTTTGATTTTGATTAGAAATTAATTGAGAAAATATGAAAAATAATATTATAAGCGTGAAAAGTCCTCCAATTGTTTTGGCGCTAAATTATATATATTTTATGAGTATTTTATCTAAAAAATGAGGAAAAATTTTTCGGGTCATTTTTTACAGAATTTTAGCCAAAATCGTGTACTAACCATCACGGGCTTTGGCTAAAAACGCGTTTCGGGGACCCGGCTCAGGTTTGCATGATTTTTGGCACAGACAATCCTTGAAATATTTATATTCATCTGATAAAATCTTAGCCACATTGCATTTAAGGATTTGTTTTACGAGCATCTGAATCTTGTTTCGATTTAATTTGAAATTAATTCAGAAAAAATATGAAAAACGATATTAAAAGCTCGAAAAGCCCTTCAATCTTTTTGGCGTCGAATTATATATTTTATTAAGTATTTTGGATAAAAATTGAGGAAATATCTTTCAGGTCAATTTTTACAAAATTTCAATCGAAATCGTGTAATAATCATTACGGTTTTTTGGCTAAAAACACGTTTCGAGGCCCGGTTCAATTTTTGAATGATTTTTGGTGCCGATACTCCTTGAAATATCTATATTCATCTAACCACATCCCAGCCATTCTTTTTACAAGCATCTGAATCATGTTTCGTTTTAATTAGAAATTAATTCGGAGAAAAATAAGAAAAAATAGTATTAGAAGCTTGAAAAGCCCTTCAACCTTTTTGGCGTTGAATTATATATTTTTTATGAGTATTGTGGCTAAAAGTTGAGGAAAAATATTTTGGGTCAATTTTTGCAAAATATTAGCCGAAATCGTGTAACATCACGGTTTTTTTTTTGGCGAAAACTGCGTTTCGCGGTCCCGAGTCAGTTTTGCATGATTTTTTGCGCCAAAAATAATGCAAATATCCATATTCATATAATGGAATCTAAGCCATTGGAATTAAGGATTTTTTTTACAAGCATCTAAATCTTTACTAATAGAAATTACTGATATCGCGGCGTTTTTTTTTTTTTTACATATAGCGGTGTTTTTCACTTCGTCGCCAGAGGTGCCGTTATAACAACCGCCCCTATTTTTGCGGTTATCCGCATAACGCCGTTATACAGTTTAGATCATTTATTTTTTAAAAAAAATTAATTGAATATAGCGGCGTTTAATTAGAAATTAATTTGGAAAAAATAGGAAAAACGATATTAGAAACGTGAAAAGCCACACAATTTGGCGTTCAATTATATGTTTTTTATGAGTATTTTAACCAAAAATTGAAGAAACATCTTTCGGATCAATTTTTACAAAATTTTAGCCGAAATCGTGTAATAACCATCACAATTTTTGGCTAAAAATGCGTTTTAGGACCCCCGCTCAGTTTTTCCTGATCTTTCGCACTAAGACTCCTTGAGATATCCGTATTCATCTAATCAAATCTCAACCACATTGGATTTAACAATTTGTTTTTACAAGCATCTGAATCTTGTTTGATTTTGA